GGATTATTTTGCGTGTCTGTGTTAAAATTTGTTCTTAGATCTGTGAACTTATAATTTTCATAAAATTTGAAAAAATGTGAGCCATTTTTTTTTTTCTTTCAGCATTGTTTTCTGTTGCCCTGTCTCTCTCCTTTCCTCTCAGGATTCAAATGACAAATTTTATATTTTAGGCTGCTTGAGGTTTTCCAACAGTTCAGGAATGCTGCGGGTTTTGTTGTTTAATCTTTTTTTCAGTGTTTTATTTTGATACCTTCTGTTGCTGTCTTTGGGTTTAGTATCATCTCTTCTGCAGTGTGCAGCCTGTTGTTCATCCTATTTGGTATAATTTTCACTTCAGAAATTTAATTTTTTTTGTGTGTGTGGTCCTTAGGAAGAAAGTTAATTTTAATCTGTAGAAATTTGATTTGAATCTTTTTTTACATCTTCTGTGTCTGTCCTTACCATATTTATCTGTCTTATGTCTGCCTTCTTGAATCTATGGATTTTAATAAGCATTTCAATATTTTTCTACTAATTCTATTGTTTGTATCATTTCTGAATCTGTGTCTTTTGATTGATTTCTTTCCTTATTATACATTGTATTTCTTGCTTCTTTGTATGCTGATTTGTTTTTTTGCAGTGTTGGGGAGCAAATGCAGGACTTTGTGTGTGCTAGGTAAGTGTCCCATATCCCTAGCTCTAATCTGGTAATTTTTTACTAGAAGCCACATAGTGTGAATTTTATGTTCTTGGGTGTTATATTTTTAAGAATTTCTTTCTTTCTTTCTTTCTTTTTTTTTAAAGAGAGAGAGAGAGAGAGAGAGAGATTTTTAATATTTATTTATTTTTTTAGTTTTCGGCGGACACCACATCTTTGTTTGTATGTGGTGCTGAGGATCGAACCCAGGCTGCATGCATGCCAGGCGAGCACGCTACCGCTTGAGCCACATCCCCAGCCCTGATTTTTAAGAATTTCTATAAATGTTTTTTAATTCTATTGTAGGATCAGCTTAATTATTTGGGAAGAATTTGATTATTCCAAGGCATATTTTTAAGCTCTATTACAAAGGACCAGAAAAATCTTTAATTTGGTCCCACTACTGAAGTGATTTCCTTCTGAGTGCTCAGCCTAATTTTCTGTATATTATGAGATGTCTTTACTCTTGTGTTGAAAACATGACATTTCCATCCCTGTATGAGCTTTAGGAATTATTCTACCTGATCCGCTGCAGTGGTTCTTTACTTGGACTTGGGGAGTTTTCTCACAGGCATGTGATTCAACTCTCCCATGAAGATCTGAGAACCCTCTCCATGTTGCCAGGGCCCTCTTTGCAGCTCTCTCCTCTCTGATACTCACTTTGTGAATTCTAGTTCCATTGGCATTCCTGAATTCTCAACTCAGCTCCCTGAGACTGCTGTACCCTTTGGGTTCCCCTCTTGCTTGGGGCAGTTTGTCAAAGCTTTGTTTCTTTCTTTTCCTCTATCAGGTATTACTGCATTATGTCTTTTGTCTGAAATGATCATTTTGTATATTTTGTCCAGGAATTTTTTGTAAGATGGGAGAGTAAATCCAGTCTGTTGTTTCATCCTACATATGTTGAAGCAGAAATCCCTGTAATTGTACTTTTTTTTTTACCATACGATTTATTTTTATTTTTTTTTTAGTCATACATGACAGCAGAATATATTTTGACATATAATACATACATGGAATGTACATACATCAGTCATAATGACTATTCTATTCTGCCCTTCCTATCCCCCCTCCTCCTCCCCTCCTCTCCCATCCTTTCTCTCTATCCAATCTAATGTGACACACTTTTTTTTCCTTTTTCTCATCACAACATCATTTATGTATTCTGTATATCAATGAGGTTCTCCTTCCATCTTCCGTGCAACTCCCCTTCTCCCTCTTTTTCCCTCCCACCTCTCTTCCCTATTTAGTGGTAGTCTTCTTCTCATGCTCTTCCTCCCTATCCCATTTTGAGTCACCCCCCTTATATCAGAGAAGACATTCGGCATTTGTTTTTTAGGGATTGGCTAACTTCACTTAGCATAATGTAATTGTACTTTTTAAATTCTTTTCTATACAACTTCCCTGAGAAGCTAATACTTTAGCAGACTTTTCGAAGAATCTTTTGTTTTAATTTTCAAGTATTAACAGTCCTTTTAAAAGGACATTTTCTTTCTTTTTGGTACTAGAGATTGAACTCAGGGGTTCTCGACCACTGAGCCACATCCCCAACCCTGTTTTGTATTTTATTTAGAGATAGGGTCTCACTGAGTTGCCTAGAGCCTTGCTTTTGCACAGGCTTTTAACTCACAATCCTCCTGCCTTAGTCTCCCCAGCCACTGGGATTATAGGCCTGAGCCATTGCACACAGCTAAAAGGACTTTTTCTTATTGAAAAAAATTTTGGTGTATTTGTTGAAGATTTCAAAAAATAACTTCTATTCTTATTATGCAGTAGTCAGAGAATACAGCTTTCCCATTTTTTTCTTTTTGAAATAATAAATAGATTTCTTTGTGGTCTAAAAGGTTGCATTTTGTGATTTCTTTGGGTACATCTTAAAAAATGGTACTTAGCAATTCAACAACCAAACTATGGAACTAGCCTGGGAGTCTGACAGTGAATGAATAGCGAAAGAAAATATGGTGTATATATACAATAGAGTTTTATTCAGCCTTAAAGAAGAACGAAATTTTGTGTCAAGCAGGAAAATGGATGGAAGTTGAGATCATTATGTTAAGCGAAATAAGCCAAACTCAGAAGGTTAAGGGTTGTATGTTCTCTTTCATGTGGAAGCTACACAGGAAAAAAGAAAAGAAAGGTGGGAATGGGGAGAAGGAGGTATAAGGAGCAGTTTTCATGAAAACTGAAGGGAAATCAGTAGAGGAAAGGGACTGGGGGAGGGAAGAGAAGACAGAGAAAATACTGGGGAATGATACAAACATGTAACAACGAATCCCACCATTATGTATAATTATAATGCACCAACAAAAAATATGGGGGAAAATAGTACTTGGTGTAGGAATCAAATACACAATCATATGTAGTTAATATTAATTATATATATATATAATATATACACACACACACACACACACACACACATGCACATGTATTATATATAATTTTTGTTTAATCTATATGTATATATAAAATTTTTATTTTATTTATCTATTTTGTGGTGTTGAGGATTGAACACAGGGTCTTGCACATGCTACACTAGGCAATCATTCTACCACTGAGCAACATTCCTAGCCCTATATATTTTAAACTCTTTAACTTTGTGACTGAATCTGCTGTAAACTCATGTAAAGTTTCCCAATTTTAAAATGAGTTTTAAAAAAATTAACCTTGTAGTTATTCTCAGAACCAATCTTACAAATTCTGAGTTTCTTTGTATTCTTTGGAATATAACCCACAATACAAGGTACTTAATATCCCTTGCCGATTTAGGATAATCATTATTTAACATCTCTTTAAAAGTAGGAAATAAAATTTTGCAAAGCAACTAATTGAAAGAATAATTAGCAGAGTTATTGCTAGACTTCTTTGATGCCTATTTCTTAGGTGTTAATAACCAAATTACTCCATAGTATATTTAAATTCTAAAACACTACTTTAAAGGAACCAAATTTAAAAATCTATATTTTAAACCCAAATTGATTTGCTTATTTTTTCTTAAGGTGTATAAACAACTATTTACAGATTTATCTTTAACCTTAAACTCATATTCTTTAGAGATATTTTAGTTTTGCAAAGGATAAGATTACTGTGTTACTTAATAATAGATCTAATAACTACTCTGTTAGTTTTGTAATTGGAAGATTTGTTAGAAGGGCTCAAAATTTTGTTTGAAAACTGAGAGTGGGAGATGGAGAACCTCAAAGTCTTTAGGGCTAGAAAGGAAATCTGAAGCATCTCTGACCAGCTTCCGATACAGAACAAGTGGTGCACCTTGCCTTCTAATTCTGAAGAATCCTGCAAATGTCATCTAAACCTGTCAGCCACCTTCCCACTCAGTTTTCCACTCAATTCCTCATCGCCAAACTTAGAGAAATTTTCAATTTTAAGGGATTTTTCTCTATGATTATAGATGTATATTAATGTTTAAAATGGTTTTTTGTAGCCTTTAGCCTTATAATTCTCATTGAAGACTTAAAATGCATCCTGACCAATAGTGCGTAGAAGGGAAAAACTTTCTTTCCAAATGAAATAATGACATGTAGTTTGCACAGACATGATTAAGCTGGTCTAAATGTTAAATAACATTTTTTTAGTGTCAATATTTTTCTGGGTTCTTTACAATTTTCCCTTTATAGGTGCAAATGTTGGTCTGAGTTTCAAGACATAAAACTTCATTAAATTTTCATAAAATTAAACTGTTAAAATTAAATTATAAATACATTAGTCTGAAATCTTCTTTGCTTTTTTATATTTCAAGATTAAGTTCATAGTGCTTTCATGTTTACTTGCTCCACTTTCTTATTACGATTGGAGAAGAGCAACTTACCCGAGGAGCTCATACATTAGCAGATGAATGCTGTTATTACTATCAACATACCTTTGTTGGAAACCTTTATTTACATTTTTTACCAAGATGGTCAAGCCAGTTTAATCAGTTGACAAAACTTTATGCATGAATACACTTAAGATTTACAGAGTAAAAGTGATGAAAATTTTTTGTTTATTCTTAGACTTTTCTTTTTCTTTTTTTGCCCAAGAATTAATTTTGCCTCAGCTTAATTGCATTCCTGTGACATTACACAATCGGGGAGGGAAAAAAGAGGGAGCTGTGACTGTGTGGTATGTATCGAAAAGTGCATGTTAGAGGGAGAGGAGGACGAATAAGCAAGCTGGTTTGACCAGAAACAGAACTGCCTGTGACAGATTAAGAGACAAGCAAAGCTTGGAATCTGAGAGCAAGCAGAGTGGAAATTTACAGCCGCTCTATGCGAGTGTTCAAGTGATCATTTTCTGCTAACGTTTTCCCGTGGTAACTGTTAATCTTCAGAGAGAGAGGCAGAAAGTCAAGTAGGAATTGTGCAAACTCTTCTCTGCAACACTTTGGTAATAAGGAGACATCCTCTAATAAATGGAAGAAAAAGGCTACTTCTTCTAAAGTGCTTTGAGCCCAAGAAAGAGCTGTCTTCAGCACCTCACCATGTGTCTACTTTCTGTTGCGTAGACAAGCCTCGTTTCTATACCATTTGGTGAGTAGCAACAAGGTTATCTATACCAGTTTGGGATGTAGAAAAGGAATTAATGTGGGGCTTCAGTTTTTACTTTTCCACAGTTATTGCTTATTTTATTTTAAATTATTTTAAATTATGCTGTTACCTTATTTCTTTGTGCATGATGAACTGCTGTTACTAGGAGAGGTTTGCAAAAACAACAACTACAAAACAATACTTCTCTGTTGCCTAAGGCACTTGAACCTTTACCAACTATTCTGTGTCCATGGAATATCTTATTTTGGAAATGAGTTTTTATTTACAAAGAGTTTCCAAAAATAAAATAGTGGCATTATACCAGATTTTGTGTTTCTCTTTTAACTGCATGAAAATTCAAAAGTTAGCCTTTTCTGTATATCATCAGTTATCATACTGGTGTCTAGTTTTATAAGTTATTATAAATTACATCATTCCCTCAATTCATATTAAAGTATTGTATACCATTAATTAAAAGGATATAATTTAAATGTTGAGTGCTACTGTGAGATCCAATAGTGACACCTGATTTTTTCAAAGTTCTGTAAGGAAAATAACAATTAGACAATTTACCAGTAAAATTTAGTATTGATATAAAATGAATGCACATAGATTTCTAAGTTAAGGAATAAAGAAAGCAGTTATTTTGTTCTTATAGCTGCTACCAAGCTCTCATACTCATTGTTCTGCTGAAGAACTATTATAACCAGAAGAACTATTATAACCAGAAGAACAGAGAAAAGAAAAATAAATTCTTAAAATATTTACTTTAATGCCAATAAAAACCTTCATTTATATAATCTCTAGATAGATTGCATGCTATATATTTTTAAAGACATCAGCAGAAAGCATGTAATTGTTCTTTAGGAGGAAGTATATGTATTGTTAACTACTACATTGAATCATTGCATACAGATGTGCCATTCTAAGCAGAGTTTCTAATCTACCCTCTAAAGGCTTGAAGAAACATATGTCCTTAGTTACTGATTCAAGTGAATCCTTTAAAGCAGAATGAATTAGCTAAAAGGAAAACTTTGGCAGAGTATCAGCAAAATGTATTAAAAGGGTCTGCACCCAAGATATAAAGTGGCTGTACATTCCCTAATATCTCCTCTAGGTGTATAGAAGCCTGTAAAACAGGTTTTGTTTTGTGGAATTTTGTGGGGTTTTTTTTCCCTCTGCCTATTGACCTATATATAAGAAGCAACTCACTTAGCTGGTCTGTAGAAACCTTTTCTGGACTAATATCTTACACTTAAAGTCCAAAGTAAATATAAAAGACATATCACAAACAAACTTTTACTTCTTTACATAATTTCCCACACTCAGTTCTTGGATAGAAAATTTGCATTTAGCTTGACAATCTTCAGAAAATTTTATTTTAAAACTAGTCATTAAATAGGATTACCTTAGAGATGGCACCATTTCTTAAGCCTACAGGCATGTAAATATAAACATAAAGAATAAGTCATCCCTAATTTACAAATGCTTTGTATTTCAGAAGTTTTGTGGGCTGTTGGGAATTTGGAACTCATTTTGCCTGGGAAACAACATATCAAATGGCTGCTGGGCTTTTATTATAGCCTAAGAACATATTTTACTCATACTATAGAAAGACCATTGCCACCTTAGGAGAGATTAGAAAATCTACGCTAGTGATGAAACTTAATAAAACAATTTTATAAAGAAGACATTATTTTTATTTATCCTAAATATTAATGCTTGAAGAAAAACAAGTTTAATAAGAGTTGAATAGTATTTTGAAGGATAATTATATATAGGATTTCTAATTACTTTCACATGCTTCCAAGTTGATCGCACTGTTTATGAGATTCAGGGATTTCTTTTCCTTGCTACAGGAATATTTCCAACTGTCGCTTTTATGCTTAAACATTCCTGAGGGGGAGCCCAGCGAGCAGCACATAGTAGGCAACTAATAATAGTCAGTACGTGAGAACAGTACTGTTTCTTTGATTCACAAAAAAAGAAATGAAATAGCATTCCCAAGGTATCCAAAAAGGTAACAGGATTTAAGGCCACAGATTTTTTTTTTTTTTCATTAAGAGAAAGATATGGGGGCTGGGGCCATAGCTCAGGGGTAGAGCGCTTGCCTGGCATGTGTGAAGCACTGGGTTCCATCCTTAGCACCACATAAAAAATAAATGAAAATAGGGCTGGGGTTGTAGCTCCATGGTAGAGCGCTTGTCTCCTATGTGTGAGGCACTGGGTTCGATTCTCTGTACCACATATAAATAAACGAATAAAATAAAGGTCCATCAACAACTAAAAAAATTTAAAATAAATAAATAAATGAATATAAAGGTTCATCAACAACTAAAAAACATACTTAAAAAACTGCTAATGGGGCTGGGGTTGTGGTTCAGCTGTAGAGTGCCTGCCTCGCACATGTGAGACCCTGGGTTCGATCCTCAGCACCACATAAAAATAAATAAAAATAAAGATATGTGTCCAACTAAAAAATAAATATTTTTTTAAAAACCTGCTAATGTTAAAAAAAAAAAAGAGAAAGAGATGGCCTAACAAGAATTGACTGAATTGTGAGATGTGAACAAGACAAAGGTAGGACAGAAGCTGGGCACAGTGGCACTTGCCTATAATCCCAGCGACTTGGGAGGCTCAGGCCCTAAGCAATTTAGGGAGACTGTCTCAGAAAAAAAAAAGAAAGAAAGAAAACGGCCAGGGATGTGGCTCAGTGTAAGTGCCTCTAGGTTCAATCCCTGGTACAAAAAAAAAAAAAAGTTGGGCAGAATAGGCCTCACTTTTAAAAAGAAAAGACCATGGTATACCTTGGTGACAATCCTGAATGAATAGGATAAGTGATGACTGGAAGCAGTTTTTCCTGCTAGGAATCTTGAGTAGATGAGACATTGTGAAGTCAGGTGTCAATTTTAACTCATATGCATAGGTTTACTAGAATATGAAGAAATATCACTTATTTGAAAGTTTCAAATTAAGCCTATTCAAGTTAATTTTGGTTATACTGGCCTGGAAGATTTCTCTAGAGTGCCAATATGTAAAGTTTGATGTAATAAATATAATAAAACAAACAATATAATAGATGGAAAGTTACATTTACCTTGGATAATTTTTAGAGGCAGGAAAGCTTTTCCATTTGATCAAGAAACACTTTCTTCATTGTACTCAAAATTATATAAAAAAAAATGAGTAGTTTAAACAGCATATAATAGGTTCTTAATAAATATTTATTGAATAAATTGGGATGGATTTGGATAATTTCCTATTGTGTATATGTACCTATACGTATATCTTTATAATGTAGCCTAAAGATAATATTTAGCTGACATTTCCTTAAGAAGGAAAAAACCTGTTAAGGCTATATTAACATGCCTATTATGTTCATACTTTGTATTCCATTGGTAATTAAAATAATAGGCTTAAACTGAAAGCTTTACTACCTATAAATGAAACAATACAGTTTCCTGTTTTGTGTCTTACATGTCTTGAGTTTCTAGCAGAAACTCATCATGTCTTTTCCAACTTTGGAAGGATGAAGGATTATATTAAATTTCCTAGCCAGAAAAACTGAATCAACATGGTGATTCGGGTTTCTATATTTCTATAGAATAAGAAATAACTTCAGTTAGATCACATTCATCTCTATTCTTCCATGTTAATGTTTTTTATAGTTGGCAATTAATTAGGTAGAGGTCCTTAATGAAGCTATAAAAGTTACATTTTACAGAATTCCTATAAACCTTATAATGCCAGTAATAGTATCTAATCAAAATGTAATATGTGCAGTATATATATACTTACAGGAAAGACTGAATAAAACTGAATTCTAAGTTTGTCTTAGTAATTCTGTTGTAAAAAAAAATAACTATTTGTAAGTTTCAGTGAGATCTGATCCTCTCATTATAGTTATCAGTTTTTGAGAATACTAACCTAGCTTCGGATCCCTGCTATACATTGAGATTATGAAATCCTAATATAAAAATCATCATTCATTGACAACATTAAAATAGTTAATAAATGTAGACAATTTTAGCTCCAAAAAAATGACTAGAGCTGTCAATGGAAATACAGCTGTGAGCTTAATGAATGAAGTTACTAGTTCTTTCTAGAACAGTAGTAGGGTTCTTAGGAATATATACAATCTAACTTCATATATTAATTCTATTTTAAAATTTACTTCCATGTTACATGCTTTAAAATTAAAACACTAGGGACTGAGGCTGTAACTAATCAGTGAAAGAGCACCTACCTCGCATGTGTAAGGCACTGGGTTTGACCCTAAGCACCATATAAAAAATAAAATAAAGGTATTGTGTTCTTTTCCAACTAAAGAAATATTTTTTTAAAAATTAAAAAACAATTAAGGGACATGGGTTTCTCTTGTCAAAGGAGTTTTTATTCTGATGTTAGTCTAACCACGGTTTCCAGATGAATGAGGATTTATCATCTCTGTAAAGATAATTCTCAATTACAATTTCAGAGGGGTCGGCCTTCTAGTATACAATGCAGTAGGACTTTCAGGTGTATTTTTTATTTTAAAGCTTACACATAATCAAGTGCATGCATTTTAAAAGAAGAGTTTAATTAGTATTGACAGGTGTGTATACTTATGCAATCACCATTCTATTGAGTCTTTAAAAATGAATCTTATAGGTTCAATTCTTTGCCTTTGATGCATTTTTATTGCATTTATTTCTGTTTATGAGTCCTATTTGGAATACAGGTAAAAGAATGTTAGATTCTTGAAACTTTTTGAATTTTTTCAAGGTGATAGTAGGCTTATTTTAATTTTTTTGGCTTAAGAGAATCAAAAAATGTGTATGTACCTTAATTTTAAATTAAGAATTTGTAAGATGCAATTTTGGAAATGTTGCTCTTTGACTCATTGCTGACTATAAAATAAAATAAACTTATATGAAAAAAAAAAGGTTCATTTTTCTTAGCTGACTTTCTTGTAATACTTTAGTAGTTTGGTTGTACAGGTACTTCTTATGGTTTGACCTCAC